AATGGGCCCATTAGTCTTAGGGTTAATTAGAGATAAGGGTCGCTTGCTTAGCGGTCAAGTAAGTCTTGCTTGGGAGTCAAGTAAACCTCTCTATATAAAGAGAGGAGATGTATCAATCTAATCAAGCAAGAATTAAGAAGGAAATCCCTTCCCTCTTGCCCGGCCGTGGGCAAAAAGGCCCCCGGCCGGCCCTCTCGCGCCCTCCTTCTAGCAGCGCCATAACAGTAGGTATACGGTATGCATTGCTCTGAGACCCCTTTCTTCTGATAAAAAAGTCCTTCATATGAATTTCCCATTTTCACACTTTGTTTGATTGCAATTCCAGTCTTGTAGTATACATAATTCGTCATTTACACTTTACACACAACATTCTCCATATATTTGAACTTTGCTCAAGCGCTCGAAACTGCTGCTTCTGAATTCCCTTCTGCGTTTCAATATGTTTGTGGCATTCTCATGCCATGGTTCACAAGTTGCTATTAGGTCTATGCAATTCTAGCTAGTGACAATTGAATAATTGCTACATAAATGTCTACTATATATGGACTACAAGTGGCTGACCCTATTTCTTTCTTATTCAGGCAAACCAAACAAGTCCCTCTCTGACCTGCTGCGCGAGTACAACCTCCCTCCGGGCCTCTTCCCTCGGAACATCATCTGCTACGAGTACGACCAGACGAGCTCGAGGCTCGTGGTGCACCTGGCCAAGCCCTGCGAGGTGAGCTTCAAGGACTCCTCCATGATACGGTACGCCACCCGCGTGAAGGCGACCCTGTCCCGAGGCAAGCTCTCGGCGATCGAGGGCATGAAGACCAAGGTGGTGGTGTGGGTGAAGGTGACCACCGTGAACCTGGAGAGCTTCCGGTCCGACAAGGTGTGCTTCATCGCCGGCGTGAAGAAGCTGAGGCAGAAGGACGCCTACGAGGTGCCCCGCGAAGCCGCCTCCGTCGAGGAGTTCTGAGCTCAGTCTGATGATCCGTCTTCCTATGATCCTATCCATAGTCTCCATGATTCGTGCCATTCTTTTGAGTCCCATATGGTGTGTGGTTCCTGAGGACGTGCTGGTGATTAGATTGGTGGGCTGATCGGCATGTCTGTACATTGGATTTGTTCTCCTAAGGAAAGGGTGGTGTCCCAGTAATGTGAACATTTGGCATGTGTTCTGGCTTTGTGTTGCTCGTCTGTCGGGGACCTGTGTTTCAGTGCTTTATGGTGCTGCGTGTGCCGGCTGCTGGCGGAGGTGCATTGCACTTTTGCCGAAATAATTGTTTCAGCAAGCTTTCAGACATTTCGCGACATAAAACAATGACATATATGCAAAAACATCATGATAGTATCGTGATGCCAGGAAACACATGACGGGATGAAAAAGAAAGATACTACTCAACTCACACAGCTCGCCTGAAGACAGGAAAATGAAAACAATGACTACAAAATCAGGTGCATCATCCCAAATTGCCAATGTACTGGATCATGGTATTCTTTGTATGGATTAAGCGGCAGGTTTCCTGGAACATGACCCAGGCAGAAAAAGTCAGTTACAGAAATACTTACCCAGTTGCTTTTAATCTTGGATCCCTGTATACAGGCTCCACATTCGATCATATAGTGTGCTACGAGTTTCTGCCGAAAAATCACATGCTAAACATATCTGAACTAGGACCTACCAGTGGTGAACGAAAATCCTACTAAGGAATTTCTTGTAAGGGCTAGTTTTAATTAATACCCCCTCCGTCCCAAAATAAGTGTCTCAACTTTATACTAACTTTAGTACAAAATTGTACTCCTTCCGTCCCAAAATTCTTGTCTTAGATTTGTCTAGATACTATCTAGACAAATCTAAGACAAGAATTTTGAGACGGAGGGAGTACTAAGGTTAAGACACTTATTTTGGGACGGAGGGAGTAGTATATTATGGCATTTGGGCCTTCTCTTCATGAGCTCTTAGCCTAGGTCCATGCAATTTCCACACAAAAACCACCTTCTGAATCGCTCCAAGCCAGCATGTTTTTTTTTTGAACCGGGCTTTACCCCTTTCCATTGCAAAGAACGGAAATACAACCAGTTCAAACGAGAAGGTCAGGGGGAGGGAAAGAAGTAAAGCGAGTTCTAGCACTACCAGGAAACCCACCATACTCGCTCGCCATCGAAACGAGTATCATGGGGCGAAAACCTGGATAGCACGACATAACATCTATCCTATTACAATCTCAAAAGCTCAGGATCAAGTATCAGAACACAACTGCAAAGTCAAGTAAACAGATGGTAATCTTCGCCGAGATAGAACAGCATCGAGGTTGCGCGCCCGTCTTCCTTTCAAGCGCCCTGGATTGGTTGCTTGACAGCGCCACACATCTTCATCAGCTGCATCGTGCCAGTCCTGATCATCTCGGCTCCAGAACGAAGATCTTTGGCGTCCTCTCCTTGTTGTAGCCCTGTCCAGTAAAGTAGAAAGGAACACAGAGAAAACACAATCTCAAAAGGAGTCTTGATTTGTTTTTTTTTTCAAAGGTAGCTCGGTTGCGAGCCAACCAAATCGCCCAACATACAGCCGCTAGACCTACTGTGTAAAACTTTTGCTTCCCAGGAAGGAATTTATTGCACCACACAAAGTATTGCCAGTAATTCGACGGACATCTATCAGTACCAAGAGCAACCCCAATCGGTCGCCATACAATTCTTGCCACGGGACAATTGAAGAATAGGTGTTGTACCGTTTCAACCTGTTTGCAAAAAGAGCAACAGGGATTCCCCGGCCATTTCTTCTTTCTCATAACTTGCCTAGTGAGAATTGCGTCTTGCGACATCTGCCATAAGAAGATTTTGATTTTAAGAGGGATTTTGGCTTTCCAAATCCATCTATAGTGGCAACCACTAAGAGGCTCCTCCAACATCTTATACACCGATTTAGTGGTGAACTTGCCACTCTGGTTGAGTCCCCAAAAGACACGATCACTCCTCTCATCGAGGTGGATTCTATTAACCGCAGCACGCATATCCTCCCATTGCTTGGACAGCTCAGGGGTAAGCCTACGTCTGAACATATCGGTGTCATCAAGTCTATCTTTCCTATTCAGGGTACTCGTGGGGTAGTTGCATATCTCAAACAAACGTGGGTATTGATCCTGAAATGGGGTCAGCCCATTGATTGGATCTTTCCACAATCTTATCAGGTTCTAGCACCAGTTTCAATTTTCCTGCCCATCATATATATGTTTTTGATTTTGAGCAAGGCCTTCCAACAGGGCGAGTCGGAGAATTTGGGAGAAACTTCAGCAACAGAGATGTTGCGAAGATACCTGGCCCGGACTATGTTCTGCCAGAGCCCGTTTTGTGTCTCTAATTTCCACCACCATTTGACCATGAGACTGATATTTTGTTTTCTAAGGTCTTTAATTTCCAAGCCAGCATGTTGATCCTGCTTCTTCACAAAAATCTTTGACGGCTCCATGTAGCCCTCGGATTCATCTTCAACATCGCCAAGAGTGATTACCAAAAGCCATGTAAACATGCCTTGGGATTTCTGGCACCACTCATATTTACTGTAGCAGCAACATGTTCTGCTGTTGCTGACTGGTACATGCTAGGAGGATTTTCAGGCTGTTTGGCTGTTTGAGGCACACAGTGTATTTCACGCTCGTCACCATAGTTCATCACAGAGGTCTTTGATGGAGATTTAAGATAACTCCTCGGCATTCTCCATGTACTGGGAAAGAAGCACGGAGGATGTCAGATGTTCACCTGACCTATCCTTGTCAAGCTTGTTGATGCCGTGGTGCGATGGCAACATACCAGCGCAAGGATGGATACTCTTGTTGCCTCGGTTGGACCGTTGAAGAATGGTTCAGAGTGTTCAATTACTTGAGTTCTAGCAGATTATCAAGTAGGTCTGGAGTACTTAAAGTTTGGAGTCTGGATGCAAGGTAAGACACAAACAAGGCTGCCTGCTGATATGAAGAAGGGGCCGCGGAGAAGGATAAGATAAGAACTGTGAAATATGTTCTACCATAGTGGAAGAAAGAACAGCTCACGCTCATAAAGGTTATGTTTGTGTGGTGCTTTTCCTGCCCGCCATGGTATCTGGAAAGTGTGCAATAACTGGTATAACATACTCCCTCCGTCCCAAAAAAAGAAGTGTCTACTTTGTACTAAATCAGGACACTTATTTTGGGACGGAGGGAGTATATGTTTGCAGGTAAGTTCAAGCTGATAACATGACACCAGCTGAGGGTGTGCTTCAGCAGGTGTTGGGTGATGTTTACATTAAAACGTTTGCTTGTCATTTAACTGTACACAGATGCCGGAAACTACCAACATTTGACACAAATATCCAAAACTACCATCTGTTGAAAAGGTGTCCTCAAAACAACCATGAAAAAATTCAGTAGTTTAGCTACAAGATCAGAGCCAGTAGGTGGAACAGGAAAGTAAGATGCAGATAAAAACAGTTTTTCAACCAACCCACTTAGAGACGATTTCACAGGGCAAAGTCAAAACACTTGCTGAAAAGAAACAGAGTGTCTCTTTAACTGAATCCAGCAAACATAATGCTACAACATATATTAATCATGATCTTCATATGTGCCTTTTTTTGTTTCAGATTTAGCCCAAGGGTTTTAGATACGCACAGCATTGCATTAGGGTTCAGTTCAGTATAATAAGATACTAAGATAGATCACCAGCATAGCTACATTCAAATAATAGCCATTAGAAGACACAAGTTCTATTCAACACTTCTATTATGATAACACTACAATAATTATTTCAAGTCAAAACTATTTACAAAGCGTGAATAACACACGTTTATTCATCCAATCTTTTATTCTCCTGAAATCGAAAGTAGCACCTTGGGCATTCAGTACATTGCACACAGCGCAAAGACAGCTTTGTCGGCGGAAATCATAGGAAATCCCACAACATACAGATGTTAAACAAGACAAGGGACTAACCAAACACAAAGTCCTTCATCAATCGCAATGGTAGCGAAGATCAGTTATAAATCAACGCTTCTTCATGAACCCCTCTGCAAGCTTTAAGTAGTCCCCCATACCAGCTCCACTTCCCCCTTCACCATCCTTCTTCATGAAACCCTGTGCAAGTTTCAGGTAATCTGCCATGCCACTGCCCTCCGACTCGTCTTTTCCACTCTCAGGGCGACCACCATGTTTCTTCTTGCCGCTGTCCTCTTCATTTTCCTCCTTTCCATACCCTCCTCCTCCATGTCCACTAGTCTTCTTGTGCCCACCCTCGTCATCCTGCTTCTTCATGAAACCTTGTGCAAGTTTAATGTAGTCTCCAATGCCACCGCCTTCTGACTCATCCTTCCCTCCATGGCTTCCACCACTAGGCTTCTTCTTGTAGTCATCTTCTTCATACCTTCCTCCACCACTAGGCTTCTTCTTGTAGTCCTCTTCTTCATACCTTCCTCCACCACTAGGCTTCTTCTTGTAGTCCTCTTCTTCATACCTCCCTCCATGGCTTCCACCACTAGGCCTCTTGTACTCATCATCTTCCTCATACCTCCCTCCACCATGGCCACCGGTTGGCTTCTTCTTGTACTCATCTTCGTATCTCCCTCCTCCACCTCCATATCCACCAGCACTAGGCTTCTTCTTGTACTCATCATCGTCTTCATACCTTCCCCCACCATAGCCGCCACCACCACCACCACTAGGAGGCCTCTTGAAGTCATCTTCTTGCTCATACCTCCCCCCACCATAGCCACCACTGCTAGGCTTCTTCTTGTACTCATCTTCTTCCTCATACCTTCCACCTCCGTAGTCACCACCACCACCAGTAGGCTTCTTCCTGTACTCATCATCCTCTTCATACCTCCCATCACCGCTGGGCTTCTTCTTGTACTCATCATCATCCTGTTCGTACCTCCCACCACCACTAGTAGGCTTCTTCCTGTACTCATCCTCCTCCTCGTACCTGCCGCCTGAACCCCCGTGACCACTGGGCTGGTGCTTGCCGCCTCCGCTGCCCCCCTCCTTGGCGCCGAACTTGTGGAGGTAGTCCTCGGCCTTGTTGAGGTAGCCGCCGACGGGCTTGCCCTCGAGCTTGCCGTAGAGGGAGGCCGCGTGGAGCAGGTCGGCGGCGGCCTCGGCGGTGCGGCCCTTGTCGACCTTCCCCAGGTTGTGGTCCTGGAGCGCCGCCTTGGCCGCCTCCGCCACCAGCTTGGCGCTGGCGGCGAGGTCGCCGCTGCCCCCGCCGGACGGGCGGTGCTGCTGCGGCGGCGGGCGCCGCCGGCCGGAGTCGTCCTCGCCGTCATAGGAGGCCATTCGCGTCGGATCTGGGGAAAGGGGGTGAGCTGAGCAGAGGAGACAGAGCAGAGCAGAGAGAGACGGGGCTTCGATCAGACAACACGGCACAGGGCCACGGGGTATTCGTGGTCGTGGGAGCCACCGGTTTTGATGCGAACCTCCCTCGGCTCCAGCTGCCGTCGGAGAAGCGTCTAGGGCGCGTCGGTTGGACACGGCTTGCATTTCGGGCACACGTTTTGCTCCCGTCCGTAATTTGATTACTTTCTTTTTCACGAACCTAACTTTTTTACAATTAAAATTGCCATTCGGAAAGAAAGAAAGAAAATTAAAACTGAAACATGTCATCCGAAAAAAATGTCATGATTGACAACTAAAGTTGGCATCATCGCGTCATTAAACTTGTCATAAAAAACGTTCTAAGTTGTCATGTGTTCGTGCCACACGTATACCACTTATCAGGGTCTTTATTTTTGGAATCACCTTCATTAGAGATGTAAGAGCATCGCCGATAGAAGATGTATATTTGGAGAAGTAAACATAGACATTGTATAATTTACATCACCAAAAAAAATACTTTTTACATCTCCAAAAAAGTCTCAACTCGAATAGATGATGTATATTTGGTAATGTAAAACTAGTGCTCCAACATATGATGTACTCCCTCCGTATAAGTCTTTTTAGAGATTTTAATATGGAGTACATATGAAGCAAAATGAGTGAATCTACACTCTAAAGTCTAAACTATGTTTATATAAAACCATATGTAGTCCATATTAAAATCTCTAGAAAAACTTATATTTAGGAATGAAGAGGGTATATTTGAAGATGTAAAACGCCTACGGTCGCGCAGCAGCCTACAGCCGCACTCCAGCCACTGTACAACAGTATTCTTTCGAACTCAACTTCCATGCGGTGCAAATCAACACATCTTCGACGATCATATAATTTGCGGTTCTTCCCTTGACAATGAAGCCCTCGTCCTCCATGTTGAGATTATCATAATCATATTGAGTATCGTATTCTTGTGATGCATACTCTTAAGAGAAATAATCTTCGTTTGCGACATTTATCACATGCATGAATGCTTCATCATCAAGTCTACAAATACACATACACGCAATGTCACATTATATTCGTATCGGACATGAAAAGAACAAACAAAAAGAAAAAGGATTTATTTTACCTTTGTGACATTTCGTCGAGCACGTTGGAGGCGGTGGCCGCGGGCATGGCCGGTTCTTCCTCCATGGCCGGTGTTGCTTGCGGTGGCGGCGGAGGAGGAGGTCCATGTTCGGCGGCAGTTGCCCTGGCCGGCGGCGGTATCGAATCGGCCGAAGTAGCCACGGCCGCCTTCATTTTCTTCGCCGCCCGAGATGGACCCGTGGCGGGGTTGGACGCCGCTGGCCGGTTCGGGCCGCCACCACGGGGTTTAACAGCCGACAGCTTCTTCGTCGATCGCACACCAGTTCCCGCAACGATGACTGGACGAGGTGGGGCGAAACCGTTATGGTGGGATGGGGGCGGCATGGCAGCGGAAGCGGGGTCGGGGAAGGTTGAAGCGCCGACAGTGGCCGTGGCGAGGTTGGTCAGAACGGCGAAGGCGGCAGCGGGGTCAACAGAGTCGGCCGTCAGGCCGGGCGGCGGGAGCTAGGTGGGCGTCGGTCGGGCGCTGGGATTTTCAAATTCCACGGTTGGGTGACTGGCACGTGACTGGGCATTTTACATCACCAGGTAGCTGGTGGTGCAAATTTGGATCTTCGAGTGTTGTATTTTACATCATTTGGAGGAGGTGATGTAATTTTCTTTACATCTACATCATCTGTTGTACAATGTTTTTAGGCCTTGGTGATGTAAAAATTAGTTATTTTTTGCATCTACATCTTCAATTAGAGATGCTCTAAACGCTCATACAAAACACACATATACTCACCCCTACGAACACACACACCCTATTCCTATGAGCACCTCTGAAATACCGAGCCGGCATCACATATCTTGAGATTGGTGAAGTCACCACAGGAGCATCCGTAGTCGACGGAAACATCTCCTCCCACTGAACAAACATTGTCGGGAAGCCTGAAATAAATCCAGAAAAATGCGAACACCAGTGCCAAGTCTAGAGTATAGGACTTGAACCCTGTTGGGCTGGTTCCACCACATAGAATCTAACCATCTGACCTAGACTCAGTTCGCATAAGATGAGTAGGACGTTTTGGAGGCCTAGCTCCATGAAGTTCTTATTTATTTTTTAAATAGTTCAAACTTTTCGGTTTAAAAAAATCCTAAAAAATTTATGATGAAATACGCAAGGTGCAAAAAAATCATGGGCTTTGAGAATGAAGAGTACATATGTTGAAAAGCCATTGGTTTGTTTTTTACGTAGCTCTTATTTTAACACATATCCTGATCCATGCCTTGTCAACCCTAAACCCTGATCCAATACATTACACACTTGCAAACATGTCATATATTTCAGGACGGAGATAACATGTCTTTGGGTATATGTGTATTGTTTGCAAGCGTGTAATGTTTGCAAGATGGAGATGCATTCCCCCTCCAACAAAGGTTTGGATCAGGGTTGCCTCGTGAAATGATCGATATGGTTGACTAGAGGGGGGGGGGTGAATAGGCAACTAACATTTTTTAAGCTTTTCTTTACCAAATTAAACTTTGCAACAAAATAGGTTGTCTAGATGTGCAACTAAGTGAGCAACCTATATGATGCAATAACAACTAGCACACAAGCAAGCAAGGGATACAACACAAGTAGGCTTGCAAAAGTAAAGGTACGAAATAACCAAGAGTGAAGCCGGTGGAGACGAGGATGTGTTACCGAAGTTCCTTCCTTTTAAGGGGAAGTACGTCTCTGTTAGAGCGGTGTGGAGGCACAATGCTCCCCAAGAAGCCACTAGGGACACCGTATTCTCCTCACGCCCTCACACAATGCGAGATGTCGTGATTCCACTATTGGTGCCCTTGAAGGCGGCGACCGAATCTTTACAAACAAGGTTGGGACAATCTCCACAACAATTGGAGGCTCCCAACAACACCACGAAACTTCACCACAATGGAGTATGGCTTCGAGGTGACCTCAACCGTCTAGGGTGCTCAAAACACCCAAGAGTAACAAGATCCGCTAGGGATAAGTGGGGGGAATCGAATATCTCTTGATGGAAGTGTAGATCGGGCCCTTGTCACCCAATCCCGAGCAAATCAACAAGTTTGATTGGCTAGGGAGAGAGATCGGGCGAAAATGGAGCTTGGAGCAACAATGGAGTTTAGGGTTGGAAGAGGTGAGTCTTCTTGGAGAAGAAGACCCCCTTTTATAGTGGGGGGGGGGGACAATTCCACCGTTACCCACCACTCAGCCCACGGCTCACGGAACTACCGCTCCACAGGCGCGGTACTACCGCACTGGTGTGCGGTACTACCGCGGTGGACTGCGGTACTACCGTGAGCACGGCAGGAGCCAGGCTAGGCAAAAAGGTGCACCGACAGGGCGCGGTAGATCCGCACACGCGGTACTACCGCGGCCTCGTGCGATACAACCGCAAGGCAGACACGGCCATGCCTGGTAGACACGGAGGTAAAAAATTACATCTGTGACTACCTCCGCTGAGGAACAGTCGTGCAAAAATCCGACACGGAACTACCACGACCGAGGTGTGGTATTACCGTGAAGGGCGCGGATGTAAAAAATTACATCCGCCCCTACCTCCGCTCCTGCTACGGAACCTGGACTGGTGCCACGGTACTACCGCGCCGCAGCACGGTACTACCGCGGGGAGCGCGGATGTAAAAAATTACATCCGCGCCTACCACCGCTTGAGAGCGGTGCCAGACCAGAGCTCGCGGTACTACCGCTCGGAAGAGCGGAACTACCGTGGGAGCATGCGGTACAACCGTGCCGTAGCCCGGTACTACCGCTGGCTCCTGCGGTAGTACCTCTGAAGAGAGCAGTACTACCGCCAGCCTGAGAAGAGCAAGACGGAGGCCTTCATTTCGCAGAGACACACGGGACGGAGGAACACTCCAAGGTGCTTAAAGAAAGGCGGTGCAAAAGGGAATGTGTACGTGAGATTCCACCCTAACCTTTCCAAAGTGGACCCCCTCTTAATAGTACGGCTCTCCTACGACTCAACTCCATCGAACCGTAGACAAACGCCGTCTTCAATACTCTTCAGGGGCAACAAATCGTCTTGTGTTTAGTCGTGATGAATCTGAGAATCTCAATACACACGATTAGTCCGCAAATGCATTGTCATCAATCACCAAAACTACATAGGGACAACAGTGCCCTTACAATCTCCCCCTTTTTGGTGGATTGATGACAATACGGGATTTGCACATAGGAAATGAAAATGGCACACGCAAACCCCACAACTCTAAAATATAGATGAGCTCCCCCTAGATTCGTGATAGAGAGTAAGGTGCTTTGGACTGCACGTCACGAATACTAGGATCACCACTCCCCCTATATTTTAGAAACAATGCATATCTTGCAAAGAAAAGACTGACACTAAGCAAGATAATAGATATGAGCATAACATGAATAGCATGATAGAGCATAGGCTCAATAAGATGATAAGGTACGATAGAGTGCATATGTCTTACACCATATGATAAACAAAGTCTCACAATCACAACCAAATCAAAGCAAGCAAGTTCAACGACGGAAAGCAAAGCAAGGCAAACGACAAAACACACGACACGCAAATCCTACACTCTCTCCCCCTTTGGCATCGAGACACCAAAAAGGCAGAGAGGTCACCTACAACAACGGTGGTGGCTCAAGCGGGAAAGGACTCCTCGTCATCAGACTCTGCAGCAGGAACGGACTCCTCCTCTGAATCGGTCCACTTGTAGCCCTGCTTCTGCATCCAGGCAGTCTCTGGGGTGATGTGCTTCTCAGAACCGCTGGCCACATCCTCCCCGCAAGCCCTCAAGATTCTGATGTCACGACGGCGACTCTCCTTCTAAGCAACATGGGCCTTGTACTGACCCTGAACCTGCATGCAGAACAGCCTCTTCATCTTGTTCTTCAGCTTCTTTGCCCAAGAGGGCTCATCAGAAGGAGGCGAGAAAGCAGAACGGTCAGTAGCAGCTTCATCCCTCTCAAGTTCCTCCTCATCCACAGCCTACCTGGCAGCCTCAGCAGTAGTGGTGGTGTTAGCCCATTGAGGCTTGATGCGGAGCCTGACGGACTCATGACGAATCCACCC